TTGGGCAGGAAGCACGAAGCCTCATAACAGCTTTAAATATTCAAGGGCCAGAAGGAAGATTAGAGTGGCTAAAGGGGAAAGTGTGATGAAATGGTATTTGACAAACATTTAGGGACAAAACAGATGATGTAGGTTTTCATAGGGAGCTTGCAAAGTACTTCTTGTGGTGCTGAGAGCAAACCCAGGGCCTTGCACCTGTGAGGCAAGTGCTCTGCCTGAGCTACACTCCCAGCATTGCATATGATTCTAAATGTGACAGGAAGTCACATATGGAGTGTGTGAAAGGAATTAATGATTTGATCTAATTTGTGGTTTTCCAAAGATCTCTATAGTAGCTAGTAGGAGAAAAGATTGAGGAGGGCCAACAGGGAAAGAAGCAAATTTGCGAGGAGACTGAGTGTAGTAGTCCACGTCAAAGGTCACACTGTTTGGTCCGGGGTAGGGGTAGGGAAGTGGTGGGAAGTGGTGGGAAGTGGTGGGTTCAGGATGGATTTTGAAAATGTGGTCGCAAGCATTCACTGATAAATGAGGACGGTTATTGCTCAGCAAGGGGAAGGAGAGTGGAGGAATGAGGAGAATAAAGACTGACTCCTATTTCTTTCAGCTTGACTAGTATGGTGGATGGTGACCCCACTTACTGATATGGTAAAGACTGAGGAAGGGGGAGATGGGGGGAGAAATCAAGTGTTTAAGCCATGTTAAGATGAAATGTACATTAGGGATCTCTTTGGAACTGTGAAGTATGGAGCTGTTTACAGCTGATATTCAGGGTAAAGTTCAGGAGCAGAACATACATTTGGGAGTCTTCAGCAGATAATTTTCAGAGCTGTGGTCCCACATAGTAATATGAGGGAGACTGGTTGGACAGAGAAAAGGGCCCAGGACAAAGTCAGGAGGGCACGCCCAATTATCTGAGGTCTGGGAAAAAAGACATCAGCAAAGTAAGATGAGAAAGGTGGTCAGTCACTAAGGCAGGAAGAAAGCCAGGAAAGTATGATCTCTTAGGAGATAAGAGCTAAAAGCAGGTGGGCATGGTGACACACACCTATGATCCCAGCAGTCTGGGAGATGGGGCCAGAGGATTGCAAGTTGGAGCCCAGCCTGGGCAATTCAGTGACTTAGTGAGATCCTGTTTCAGAATAAAAAAATAAAAGGTTGGGGAAGTATCTCAGTGAAAAGCCCTGGATTCAACCCCAGTAACAAAAAACAAAACAAAACTAGAAGTTTCAAGAAGGAAACAATGATTGGATATGTTATTAAGTTTCAAGAAGGGAGCAATGGTCCACCTGCTACTCTAGCCAGAACAGAAGTCAGTAGCAGACTTATCCCTAGCTTTGGAAACAGGTCTGGTTATGTCATAAAAGCAGGTTTGGTGGCCAGATGGAGTTGGTTGCCTGACAGAAACGGGTTTATAGAAACTATAAAGTAGGGGCCAGGCATCATGGTGCATACTTGTAATCCCAGCACCTAGGAGGCTGAGGCAAGATTACAGAGAGTATTCAAGGCCCGATAGGACTATACGGCCAGACCCTGTCTCAGAAAAAAAAAGAAAGAAACTATAAAGAAGGAATTGGAAATAGCATCTAGATAGAAGCCTTTCAAAATTTTTTACTGTGACAGAGAAATGAGGTATTATGAAAAGCCAAGGTAGTGTGTGTATGAGTGTTTGTGTGTGTACATGTGTGTAAGATAGAAACCAGATGATGTTTTAACACAAATGGTGAAAGGCTAATTGTTGATGCAAAGTTCTTGAAGAGAGGAAAAAGTATCTAGAACACAAATCCAGGGGTTGATTTTTGATAGTAGCAAGGCCATGTCACCATGAAGAGAAGGATGAGGAACTGTGAAGCATAGCTGTCAAATGCAAAATGTGGATAACATTTTAAAAAACAAATTGGCTGAGAAGGGACAAGAATACTGGAAAAAGATAGCAAATTGGGAGTGGGTGGCACATGCCTGTAATCCCAACACTCTGGGAGGCTGGGGCAGGGGGATTGCAAGTTGGAGCCCAGCCTGGGCAATTCAGTGAGAGCCTACCTTAGGATAAAACATTTTAAAAAAATGAGGTGAGACTGAAGGCCTCGGGTTCAAATCCTCCATTACCACCACTACCACCACCACCACCACCACCACCACCACCACCACCACCACCACCACCAAAAAAACAAAAAAAAGAGTGTAAACTGTGAATAAATGAGAGAGTGACCAGGGATCTGTAGGTGATAGCATCCTGGAGAAGTACCAATTCACATTCACTTTAAAAGATTTTTTTTTTCAGTATTAGGGATTGAACCCAGGGAGTTCTGTGCTACATCCCAGCCCTTTTAATTGGCTCTCACTAAACTGCCTAGGCTGGGCTTGAACTTGCAATCCTCCCACCTTAACAACTGGCGACAAGTATTATTAATGTATGGCCTGCTCCTCCTGTTTCCACCAGATCACTTCCCTTCCTTCCTTCTTGAGAAACTCAAGTTCTTGCCAGGTAGAATGACACACAACTGTAACCCCAGCCATTTGGAAGGCTGAGGCAGGAGGTTCTCAAGTTCAAGCAACTTAGTGACTTATTAGTTACCCTTAGTGACCCTGTCTCAAAAATTTAAAAAAAGGCTGAGAATGTAGCTCAGTGCAGGAGCTTTGGATCCAATCCACATTAGAGGGAAAAAAGAAAGTTTGTGACAAGAAAAAAATAGCCTCCAAAACAGGTTTCAATTGGAACAGGAAGTTGATGAAAACATTTAGGGAAGAGTATAAGGATAAAGGGGAAATGGCTGTTAAGATGTTGAAATGGTCAGGATGCTTGGTGGGGAGTGGGATATGGAAGCAATGTGACAGGGGAGAGCCGTGTGGAGATGGGCAAAGATGGGTGACCGGGAGGCACTGGGTGTGATCCAGGCAAGAGGATTCTAAAGCCTGATGGAATTACCTTTGAGCAATCTCTAGTCAAAGGTGGGGAAACTGTTTCAACTGAATAATACAGGGCAGCTAGCTAAACTGTTCTCTCTTCCAGGTCTTATGGTTTGGAGGCTCCTGAATTACAATTGCTAAAACTTCATTAAGTATTTGTTTATTCAGTTATAAAATGTGGCATGTAGGTCTCAGTATTACAATTGTTAGGTTTTGATTATAGGGTTGTGATCACTTGTCAAAACAAGCTGGGATTTTTTTTCCCCCCAAGCATTTTAGCATCCTGGAACTATTTGTTCTAGTGTATTTTGGAGAGGGGATACTTTTAGCTACATTTTCATTGTTATTTAGTTGATCTATTTAGATTTTCTAGTTTCTTAATCTGATTTTTGCACAAATACATATTTTCAAACATTATTTTGGTGAAGTCAGGAAATGATCAGTGCTGTGTATCATAGAGCCTGATGTGGTAGTGCACATCTGAAACTCCAAACTACTTGGGAAGCCGAAGCAGGAAGATTACAAATTCAAGGCCGCCTTGATCAATTTACAACTTGTCTCAAAACTTAAAAAGGGTTGGAGAGGTATTTCACTGGTGGTGGGGCTTTCCAGCATTTGTGAGGCCCTAGGTTCAACCCCTAGCTTACAAAACAAAAAGCCTCAAACAAAAAAACCCCACCACAGTATGCTTTGACGTGCTTATTTTTTGTTTTAGTGGGGTTTTTTGTGTGTGTGTGTGTCTTGATATGACCCAACAATTTACCTGTTTAAAAAAATTATCCAAGGGCCCCGGATTTAGATCAGTGGTTCCGCGCCTGCCTCGCAAGCACAAGGACCCGAGTTCGATCCCTGGTACCAAAAAAAAGAAAAAAAAAAAAATTATCCAGGCGGGGCACGCGAGCTCAAGGTCAGCCTGAACTGCGTACAAGCTCTCTCTCTCTCTCTCTCTCTCTCTCTCTCTCTCTCTCTCTCTCTCTCTCACACACACACACACACACACAAAACATTACCGAAATATTAAAGACAGTAAGGACACTTGAGTCGGGCTGTAGTGACAGACATAGGGACCACTACAAGGTCTCGCATGGGAGATTGGATACCAGTCTCTCACTTAAGTATAGGTATAGTTTTTTTCCTATATGCGTTTGTGCCCCCCACTTGTTTGTACATTTTCCCCACTCCCACTTGGTAGTTTCACTTGAAAATCAAGTTGCACAGGGAAAGAACATATAGGAGTTGGTGATGAAGCCATTAATAAAACAGAAAAAGTGAATTTTAAATTGATTCATTACAAAAGCCTAGTGCTGAGAACACTCATCTGCTCACTCGGAGGCTAATCTCAACTCCGTGGGCATCGGGCAAAGACCAGAGCGCCTTCGTCGTGACCTACCCGGCAGAGGACAGAAACCAAATCTCGGAGGAATTTTCTCTGATTTTCAAGGGGCAACTTGCAGGAATAAAAAGCTGCACCCAGGGTTAGTCGGGAGAGTGCTCAGCCTAACAAAGCTGAGATCTATTAAGAATGAAACTCAGCCTTCCTAAATCGGGTATCTTAGTGATGTGAGCAGGGACCGCGCAGCTGAAGGTGAAAATTTCCCGTTTTGCTCAAAACTAAATTGTCCGGGCTCCCTCCTCGACTCGCAGTCGAAGGCGTCCCACCCAAAGCCAGTTCCCGGGAGTCACACTGTTTCCAGCTGTTCGCAAACGGCCTTCGAAGGGAAGTTTCCCGCCTTCTCAGTTCAAAGAGAGGAAGGTCAAAAGCCCGCCTAGTCCACACTCGAGGGAGGGCCGCGCCGACAGCGGTTGCCCCGCAAGGCGGACTGCGAGACGGGAAGGGCAGGAGACAGCACTACGACCCCGGTGGCCGGGGAAAAAGGCGACAGCCTAAGGCGCTCGGTGAGAGTTCAGCAAGTGAGAAATACCGTAGAGCGCAGAAGCCCGCGACAAGCAAGAAACTGAAAGGGGTCGAGCGCGGGCCCAGAGCCTGAGACCGGAGGAGGGAGCGCGGCCGTTGCGAGGAGGGGCGAAGGCTGGAGGGAGGGCGGGAGCGCTCCCCTCGACTCCTGATTGGTCGGCTCCACGGAGCCGAGTGACGCCAGCCGGGGAGAACGCCTGATTTGTGTGGTGGGCGCGGCGGGCGGGGGGAGTGCAGTGCGCAGGCGCAGCTGCCAGACTCCTCCAGCCCGGCGCTCCTGCCCAGCTCTCGCGGACAAGTCCAGACTTCGCGCGCCCCCCCTCCGGGACCGCCCCCTCCTCCCTCTCCGCGACGTCGAAGATAAACAATAGTTGGCCGGCGAGCGTCGGGCTGCGACGATTCGGCGGGCTGCGTGAGACCGGCGGGATCCCGGCCAGCCGGCCATGGCGGGGCTGTACTCGCTGGGAGTGAGCGTCTTCTCCGACCAGGGCGGGAGGAAGTACATGGAGGACGTTACTCAGATCGTGGTGGAGCCCGAGCCGACGGCTGAAGAAAAGCCATCGCCGCGGCGGGCGCTGTCGCAGCCGTCGCCTCCACAGCCGTCGTCGTCCGCTGTTCCCGGTGGCGAAGTCTCAGGGACAGGCCCAGCCCGGGACGCCCGCGACCCTGCGCCGGACGCTGGGGCCTCGCCGGCCGGCCGCTGCTGCCGCCACCGCTCCTCCGTGGCCTTCTTCGCCGTGTGCGACGGGCACGGTGGGCGCGAGGCGGCACAGTTCGCTCGGGAGCACTTATGGGGTTTCATCAAGAAGCAGAAGGGCTTCACCTCGTCCGAGCCGGCGAAGGTCTGCGCTGCCATCCGCAAGGGGTTCCTCGCGTGTCACCTCGCCATGTGGAAGAAACTGGGTAAGTTCCCCGGCTCGCCTTTCGGGCTGTGTCTCGGGGGGTGTTTACGGCGTGAGGACCGCGGGGGCCCGGTCGCATCGCGCGCGCAGAGGAAAGTGATGCAAGCGCCGGCTGCTCGGCGGGCGGGCGGAGGAGCCGCGCTCTGCGGGTGGAGGTCGGCGCACACAAAGTGGATCGGGTACTGGCTCCCTCCCCACAGCTGCTCCTCGCCTCGGTTCCGCCCTCCGAGGAGCTGGGGAACCAGTGCTCTCCCCCAGGAGGTTCGCTATGATGGCAGAGAGAGGAAAAGTGTTTGAAAGCCGGCGCGAGGTTTTGACCAAAAAAAAGATAAATTGAAGTTCCTGCTTGTGTCTGGTGAGGGAAGCGGGAACTAGCAAAAATTGGAGTTTTTCCTTAGAATCTGTCACCATTTTGCTCCTGATGGACTTGTCTTTCTCTCTCGGTTGCCTCCCACTGGTGGTGTCAATTCTCCAAACGGACCCGGGAGGCTCTTCGGAGTAGCGTGAGCTAATTTAGAAGGGCTGAAATGTGATCATCCGACAACTTAAAGCCTTGGAGGGAATTCTGTTGTGATGTTTTAAGATCGTAAGCTTGTCCTGTTTATGAAAAATAAAAATGCAGTACATGTTGCTTCTTAAACTGGCCTCAAGTTAGAGAGGTGTGTGTGTGCGCACGCACGTTAGTGTTAGGTGTTGTAGCTAATTGCTTTCAGATACGAAGTTCTCAACAGTTCCTTGTTACGAGCTCTTAGAAGTAGTAAATGTCTACCTCAGTAGCAAAGGTAAGGGGTTACTGTATGCTAAAAGGAATTAGAGACCTTACCTAAAAATTTAGTGTAGTTGTAGTTTCATCCAACTTTTAAATGTTTTTTAAAGCATCCAGTATGCACACAACTTATCATGGGGGATTATAGTTGCTTATTACTGTGAATAAATGGCACACATCTTTGCTAGGGAAAAAGAAGTGATACTTTTCTGTCATTAAAAAGTCCCTTTGTTTATGGTAGCATTATAAAGTTGGTTTATTGTCAACAAAAGGACAGAGACATAGAGAAACGAGTATTATAGATTTATGAAACAGAACATTTTTAGAACGGTATTGTCAGAGTTGTAGACTAGCTCCTTTCAACGTGTTTTCCATTTGCTTGGCTTTCTGCCAAGAAATACTTGACTGACTCAGAGACCAACCACTAGGCCTTTTGGAGGCGGTTCCCTCCCATCCCAGGGGCCCCTATTATGGATTTATTTTGTTTTTGTGTGGGCAGCATAGAGCTGAAAGCACTGTAGTATGTTCTAGAAATACATCACTTACTGCTGAGGAATTAGACGTGGACAGCAAGGCGACAAGGTGAGGGAGATTAGACAAAAGAGCTACTTAGAGCCTGTTTTGCAGTACATTTGGAGCAATGTGAATTTGGCCTATGCTTGAATATTACAGATTTTAAAAACCTTAACGATTTGATCTGTTTCTTGAGCCCTGCCCCCATTGAACCTAGGACCTCTCACATGCTAAGCACAAGCCCTACTCAGAGCTAAATCCAACTCCTTCACTGACTGACTTTTCCTCTTTGCTCTCCTTTCCCTTCCCTCCCTTTCGCTGAGACAGGGTCTTTCTGTGTAACTCAGGCTGGCCTCAAACCTGTGATCCTCTTGCCTCAGCCTCCTCAGTGCTGCAATTACAAGCACATGCTACCATGCCTCACTTGTTATTCATGTTTTTAATTTCATAATTACATTTTCCCAGGGCATATTGAAAGAATCCATTTTCTTGGATTCCTGCCCCCCTTAAAAAACCCCTCATATATAAATATATACAGTATATATTATGTATATATGTTCATTATATAGACTCTAAGTCAGTGTTTTCTTCTGTGAGGACTTCAATTTCTTTTGGAATTGAGCATCCTTGGTTCTACTTTTGTAATGCTCATTGGGTTAGCAGCAGCTCTCAAACTTTAGCTTTCAGAGACTTTTGTACTTCCCTTCCCCCTCAGTCCTGGGGATTGAACCCAGAGAGGGCTGAGCTACATCTCCAGCCCTTTGTATTTCTTTTAGAAATAGGACTTCACTGAGTTGCCCAGACTTGCCTGGGGCTTGCAGTCCTCCTGAGTCAGCCTTCTGAGTGGCTGGTTCACAAGCGCGTATTACCACAACTAGCTTGTACTCTTTTTATTATCTTTGGTGTTGGACATTGAACCCAAGGCCTGGCACATGCTAGGCATGTGCTTTACCACTGAGCCACTACCCCAAACTCTTATACCCTTAAATTACTAAGGATCCCCAAAGAGCTTATGTTTATATGGGCTTCATCTGTCAGTATTTACTAGTGAAGCCAGGCGTGGTGGTGCATGCCTGTAATCTTAGCTACCAGAGAGGCTGAGACGGATTCAAAGTTTGAGGTCAGCTTGGGCAGTTTAGTGAGACATTGCTTGTGCAAGCCTGAGTTCAATCTCCAGGACTCACATACACATTGTGTGATATATATACTATAATAAATTCTTTTTTGGGCGGGGGATTTAGCTCAGTGGTTTCGCCACCTGCTGCGTAAACGCAAGGACCCGAGTTTGATCCCCGGTACCAAAAAAAGAAAGAAATTATTTTTTATTTATTAAGTTTATTGGTACATTTTAGGTATACAATATGATGACATTCATCACTGGGAATTTATACCTTTACATGATATATCTTGGTTCTTACTTTTTTCCCCATTCCCCTGCCCTTCCTTTAATCCCTCCACCCCTCTCTATTTATAAAGACTTTGTTTCCATTTTTTCCTTTTCTCATATTTGTTCCTTTCCCTTTCCTTTCCCTTATCCCTCCCACTTCCCCTTCCTCTTTGGACCTTTTCTTCCTATTTCACATTATCTATGATACATTTTGATCCTTATTTACACTTTCTACACTTTCAGTTTCTCACACCAGAGAAACTTTGTGTATCCTATTTATTTCACTTAAGAGTATGGCCTCAATGTGCACCCATTTAGCTATAAATGACTGTAGTTTCTCATTCTGCAGAATAGCACTTCATTTTATAAAAAAAACCACACTTCTATCCAGTCTCCAGTTGATGGGCAATTGGGCTGTTTCCAAGTTTTAGCTATTACAAACTGTGTCACTATTAAGAAATTTTTAAATATTTTATTTCAAAACAACACACTCATATGTGATACATTTTTTTCACAAATTTCCCCCCCCAAAATAGCAAATATTATTGAGATTTGTATTTTTAAAATTTATTTCAGTTTTTTGAGAGAAGGTCTCTCACTACATAGTTCAGGATGGCCTTGAACTTGCAGCAATCCTATCTCAGCCTCTTGAGTGCTAGGATTACAGCTGTGTGTCACCATTCCTAGCTTTGTGATTTATTGATTGATTGATTGATTGTGCTGGGGATCAAACCCAGGGCCTGTATTTGCTAAGCAAATGGCCATATAACTGAGTATATCACTAGCCTGTAATTAATTCCTTTAGGATTGACCATATAATTAATTTGCCCAAAGTAGTGCTCAGCAACCAGTTGAGTTTAGTTGAATTTTTAAAATTTTATTTTATCCCATTCCCCCCCCTCAAGCCCCCTCCCCTCCCTATGTACAAAAGCTTTGTTTCCATTTTTTCCTTCTATTTTCACTTTTTTTCTTGTCCCTTCCCTCCTAGGTGAATTTTCTGGTGAGTGTGGTAAGATGAATAAATTGGCTTCTTTACATTTTTTTAAATTAAATTTTTTTCTTTTAAAAATTGTAGTAAAGTACACATAACATGAAATTACTTTTTGTTTTGTTGTTTGAGACAGGGTCTTGATACGTAGTTCAGACTGGCCTTGAATTTGCGCTTCTCCTACCTTGGCCTCTGCAGTGCTGGGATTAAAGGCATGTGCCACCATGGCTGGCTCATTGAGTGTAAAATCCAGTGGCATTCAGTAACATTCAGTGTTGGAGCAACCATCACCACTGACCATTTCCAGAGCTGTTCATCCTCCCAAACCCAAACTTTGTGCTCATTACTTAGTGCTCACTAAACTCCAACTCTTTTGGTTCCTCCTCTCCCCTCCCCACTAACCTCCATTCTACATTAGGTCCCTATGAACTTGACTTCCCGGTACCCCATATAAGTGGATTCAAAGTCTTTGTCCTTCTATGAGTCTTCAGGGTTCATACATGTTGTATATGTTAGAATTTCTTCAGGCCAGGGATTTAGCTCAGTGATTCCACTGCCTGCCTCGCAAGCGCAAGGTCCCAAGTTCGATCCCCGGTACCAAAAAAAAAAAAAAAAGAAAAAGAATTTCTTCCCCTTTTTTTTCCTTTTTCTTTTTTAAGATAGGGTCTTGCTATGTTGTCTAGGCTGACCTCCAGCTTCCAGACTCATGTAGTCCTCCTGCCTCAGCCTCCTGAGTAGCTGGGACTGTGGGAGTATATTACTGAGCCTGCCTCTTCTCCTATTTTAAGGCTGAATAATACTGGTATTCTATGTTATGTAGACCACATTTGTTTATCCACTCATTTATTGATACACATTTGTTTTTTTCTACTTTTTGGCTGTTGTGAGGTATATAAATGTTTGTGTCCTTGTTTTCAGTTCTTTTGGTTATAAATGTAGAAGTGGAATTGTCAGAATTGTTGAATCATATGGTAGTTCCGTGTTTAACTTTTTTGAGGAATTGCCTAACTGTCCACAGCAGCTGCAGCAGTTTACGTTTCCACCACCAAGTATAAGAGGGTTCTGTTTTCACCGTACCCTTGCTAACACTTATATTCCTTTTAAAAAAATAATAGCCTTCCTGCTACATCTGAAGGGCTTTCTTATATTTTAAAATAATACCTTCTCAGCCAAGCATGACCTTCTCAGCTGGGCATGGTAGCACATTCCTATAATTCTAGCACTTGGGAGGCTGAGGCAGGAAGATTGCAAGTTAGAAGCCAGCCTGGCCTGTGTAGCTAGTTCAAGGCCAATGTAGAGTACATGGTGAGACACTATCTCAAATACCAAAAGAGGGCTGGGGATTTA